TCCTAACTAAGCAGGTCATGGTATTATAACCTTAAGTAAACCTTGTCTATGATCTTTGTGCACATAAGATAATATATCTTTGAAACATTGGAGTAATTTTCTTTTTCAGACCTCTGGAAAGCACAGCCATGGGCACCAGAGCACGAGAGACTCCTTATTATCTTGTGTGGGGGCAACTTTGCCCACAAAGTCTCCCTGTCCACCACGGATAAAAGTGATACTGCCAAGACATGATCTGCTCAGTGAGGAAAGGTGGCTGATACCTAAAAGGAGAAGGGCCAAGAGCCCCTTTCTCAAGGGGCTTTTATTGGGTTCATTTGCCCAAGAATACAGGTAAGAATCAAACAATGGAGAGCATTCAAAGAACTATGAGGGCTTATTCTCTCTCAGTCAGGGTCAGATAGCTAAAGAGCCATAAAACTTTGAGGAACAAACTTCTTGCTTGGACCCTTATCATTTAAATGAGAGCATTCTAAACAAAGCAGGTTTCACAGGACTTTTATATATTCTTTCTTAGGCCTGATCACCCGGGGAACCACCCTTTCCACACAGGGCTACACTGCCTTCCCCATCATAGGTGTTTAGGCTTAAGTGGATTAGAGCCAGGAAGCTCTTCTTCCAGATGAAAATGGGGACTAGGGCTATGTCAGAATAGCTGGGGAGCAAGGGTTCATTGCTCCCTCTTTGTCGCAGCCCCCTGAGTCCTCCCATGATGGCCTCCCAAGTGATTGTGTTTGGCTTAGGTCGCCCCTTCTGTGAGGAGTCTTACCCATCATGGACATTGACCATGCTTTAGGGGCAGGGGAAGAAGCAGAAGCAGCACTTTCTGCCAGAGACAAGCTTTGTCTCCTAAGTGTCTTGCATTCTGGAGGTTGCTCACTCAGTCTTAGCCATGGGAGGCATTTACAATTCCTGAAACCAGGCAGAGCTGTTCCCAAAAATCTTGTTGCTTAGATACCATCTCTATTGTTAATGTTAAATGTTAACTACCCTACACCAATGGAAAAGAGGTATGTATCTCTCCATTTTACTTTTAATCAAATCCTAGAGATAAACCACTCCACCCCTGCAGCTTTCTCTCCTCTCAGTAGATTTCATACAACTCTCCTTACCTTATCTTTTTTTATTCCAATGTATAAAATGAGCTCAAAACTGCCATTCTACAGAGCATTATATTAATGTGGGATAGTCCTGGGCATGTCCTCAAACTTTTGGCTCAAATAAACTCTTGTAAAAAAATTGTTCATTAGGTTACACATTCTTTCATCTCACACTATGAAGACACTGAAGTTTCCAAACCTACCTGCTCTGTGAAAATACCTGCAAAGCCTTAGCTCATACATGACACACAGTATTGTGTAAGAGTTGGCTAGTTTTATTCATATTTCTGTATTTTTAATGGTAATACATTCTGGATTTACTTATATAATTTAAAAGTAAAGATTATGATACTCCACACAGCAATATCTTTACCAATATATCTCTTAGGGCAAATGATATAAAGGAGAGAATAAACAAATGGGACTTCATCAATTAAAAAAGCTTCTGCACAGCTACAGAAAACAACATTAAAATGAAAAGAGAACCAACTGTATGGGAAAACATATTTGCCAATGATACCTTGGACAAGGGCTTATCTCAAAAATACATAAAGAACTCATATAACTAAATACCAGAAAGACAAACAATCTAATTAAGAAATGGGCAAAGGACTTGAACAGACACTTCTCCAGGGAGAACATACACAGGGCCCATAGACATAAGAAAGATTGCTTAATACCACTAGCCATCAGACAGCTGCAAATTAAAACCACAATGAGATACTACTTTACACGAGTCAGAATGGCTATCATTAATAAATCAACAAACAACAAGTGCTGGCCAGGATGTGGGGAAAAGAGAACCCTGGTACACTGGAAATGCAGACTGGTGCAACCACTATAGAAAATTGTTGTAGACTGCTCTGCCCAGTTTTAGAAATTGTATCTCTACCCCTTGTGGCTAAGGGTGAGAGACGACCTTTGGAATGCCAGCCACAGGAGACAAAGCCTGTGTCTGGTAGCAAACACTGCCTCAGTTCCTCTCCCTGCTCCCAGAGTTTGGTCGGAAGTCAATGATGGGTAAGACCACTCACAGCTGGGGGCAACCTAAGCCAGACTCGATCACTTAGGAGGCCTTCATAGAAGGACTGGGGGGGGGCTGCGACAAAGAGCAATGGACTCTCGCCCCCCACCCCACCCCCGGCTTTGACATAGCCCAAGTCCCCATGTTCTCTGGGAGCACTTCCTGGCTCTAATCCCCTTAAACCTGAATACCTGTTGGGGGAGGGTGTAGCTCCTTGCCTTGCTAGAGCGTGTCCTGGGGAAAAATCTGGCATCACAAAGACTTACTGATAAACCTGTGAAATCTGCTCTAAGAGTGCTTTCATTCATATGATAAGGGTCTGAGAAAAAATGAGTATGTCTCCCAAAATTTCTGCAACTCTCTTTCTGACAGACACTGACTGATACTAAATCCTCAGATATCTTTGAAATGTTATCTGCTGTTTGATCCTTGCCGCCCTGCCCTGTATTCCTGTGCATTACAACCCAATAAAAGGCTATGAAGGAGGGGCTCGGGGCCTTTTTCTCCTTGGAGAAACTGGCTGCTGCTGGCCTTTGTCTCCCCTGAGAAACTGGCCACAGCCCACTCCTCTTCCCCTAAGCAGATCCAGTACATCTCGGTCATTATTAACTCACTTGTGTCTGTGGCACCGGGGGTGGGGGACTTGTGAAGAAGTCACGTCCACAAAAAATAGCATGGAATTTCCTCAAAAAACTATAGATGAAACTGCTTTCAATCCAGTGGTCCCACTGCTGGGATTATACCCTAAGAATTCTGAAACACCATTTCAAAGAACCTATGCACCCCAATGTTCACAGCAACATTGTTCACAATAACCAAATGCTGGAAAGTCTAAATGCCCATCAGTAAATGAGTGAATCAAAAAACTGTGGTACAGTTACACAATGGAATACCATGCAACAGAAGAAAAAAGAAAGAACTCCTACCTTTTGGGATAGCATGAATGGAGTTGGAGAGTTTTATGCTAAGTGAAATAAGCCAGGCAGTGAAAGATGAATACCATATGGTCTCACCTATAAGAGGAATCTAATGAAAAAACACAAATGAGTGAAATAGAACCAGACACAAGGAAATAAGAAACAAACTGACTAACTGGAGGAGAAAGGGGAGAGGGATAATGGGGAAAGAAAGGGAAAGGTCTAGTTAAGAAACATGTATCTTTTTTTTTTTTTGGTTTGTTTCAGGAACATTTACTGACAATACATCTTCAATATATGGATCATCTATTTTCCCCAAATGTTTCTTTTCAATTTTCCTCCACACCTAAAGGTGACCTGGGAAAAGGTGTGGAAAAAATTCAAGTCAGAAAAGGGGGAGGCTTGAGTGTTGTGTGACAGTATCCAGCCTTGTTACTGTCCAGGACAGAATGGTAGCCAGTCCCAAGGGGAGCTCTGGTGTAGAGCTGGGTAGCCAGTGGACAGGAGCCCAGGCCTGCTCACTGTCAGGCTGTCAGGGCTCTGAATTCCTATGCTGCCACCAACTCTCTCTGTGACTTCAGGTATGACTTCTCTAATCCTCATGTTCTCCATTAATGGGAATAATAATATTTTCCCATCGGAGTTGAAAGGAGTGACTGAATTAACACTTGTGAATCTGTTAGAATAGTTCCTGGCATACGCATTAAGTACTTTATTTTTTGTTGTTTGTTTTTGCTCTTTCATTTATTTTTAGCATTGTCCACTAATTGTAAATTTTCCTTCCATTTAATCATATCGCAAAGATTTTTCATTTGGGCATATTATAAAAATTTTTTCTATTTGTTTTTTTAATTTTTTAATTTAATTATTGTTCAAGTACAGTTTTCTGTCTTTTACTCCCATCCCAGCCCACCCCACCCCAGTGCTCCTCACCTCCCTCCCATTTCCACCCCCCTTAGTTGTTGTCCATGTGTTCTTTATACTAGTTCCGTAAATCCTTCCCTTTTTTTCCCTGAAATTCCCTCCCCTCTCCCCTCTTGTCACTGTCCCTGTTTTCTATTTCAGTGTCTTTGTTTTTATTTTGCTTGCTTGTTTGTTTTGTTGTTTAGCTTCCTGTTAAAGGTGAGATCATATGGTATTTGTCTTTCAACACCTGGCCTATTTCACTCAGCATAATGCTTTCCAGTTCCATCCAAGCTGTTGCAAAGGGTAGGAGCTCCTTCTTTCTTTCTGCTGCATAGAATTCCACTGTGTATATGTACCATAATTTTTTGATTCATTCATTTACTGGCAGGCACCTAGGTTGATTCCAGCTCTTGGCTATTGTAAATTGTGCTGCTATGAACACTGGGGTACATAGGTTCTTTTGGATTGGTGTTTTAGGGTTCTTAGGATATAATCCCAGCAGTGGAATTGCTGGGTCAAAAAGGCAGGTCTATTTTTAGTTTTCTGAGAAAAAGAAACATGTACATGGTAAAGACTCATGGTAATGGACAACAGGGTCTGGATTGACTCTGGAATAGTGGGTATAGGGGAGAGCAATGGGGGAAAAATTGGGACAACTGTAACTGAACAACAAGAAAAAATAACAGTAAAAAAATTAAAAAGTAAAAGTGAAGACTACAGTTATCAATTACATTAATAATTCTCCCTGTGCATAAATGCAGAGAGCAAGATCATTTATTTAATTCCTCCATCTCAAAAGCCCAGCATGGTGACCGGCACAGCTTTATCACATAGGAACACTTATGCCATAAAACAACGTGCCCTTCCAAGCCTTCCTTCCAGGCTGCCTAAGTCTATACCCAACCCTCAGAGCCCTAGGTCTTCTCATTCCCACGCAGCCTAGGCTGCCCAGTGCACAAGCAGGTGATGGGCAGGGCTGGGTCACTGGGCTAAGTCGCACACTGTTAGATGTACCTGAGACTGCCCTCCCAAGGGAATCCCCAGTGGCTAATTATGGCAACAGCCGCGGAGCAGTGGGTGCTGGTGGAGATGGTTCAGGCGCTGTACGAGGTGAGCTCGGCAGCCCAGCGGCCCACGACCACCCCCGGCCCTGGGGAAGTGGGACGACTCGTGCGGATTTGTGGTCAGAGCCTGGGCGGGATTGGCTCAGTCACGCTCGGATCCTCTGCGTCCTTGACTGGAATGGCTCGCGGGGGCGCGCCAGCCCCCGAGGTGGAGGGTAGGGAGGGACCGGCAGGAGCGCAAACCGAACGTCTAGCTTTGAGCTCCATCTGGCATGGAGCCCGCTGATGGTCCTGTTGTTGCTCTGGAGGGGAACATGTGGGAGGGGGCACAGGAGAGAGGTTGTTCCTCAAAAACCAGAGTTGGGACTGCTGGTAAAACGGGTGGTGAAGATTCAGTGGAAGAACTGAGTCTGGGGAGGTGCAAGGGAAGTCGGGTCCTCGGAACTGTGCAGCAGGAGACGGGGGAAGAATTGTGATGAAGTGGTTTGTCCGTTTTTGTGGAGACGTCATGTTAGAAAAGAAGCTGAGTTATTTAGGATTTAGGTATATGAAATACAGTCGTTTGTCATTCTTTTGCATATGCCCCATTTTCCACCTTGTAAAGAGACAACTCTTTTGGTAGACTTTAAAGGAAGGGTGGTCAAGAGTGTGTTGAAAGTCTAGCTATTTCAAGTATGCTAGATAACATGAAACCAAATGTCAGTCATAGAGAATGTTTCTTCATTTTACATGTATTTACTGAGCTTCACCACAGTGTCCGATAGAACTTTCTATTCTCTGTTTGGGCTATTCAATATAAATAATGTCCACTAACCAGTGAGGCACTTGAAATGTGTCTAGTGCGACTGAGGGGCTACATTTTCTATTTAATTTAGTTTAGATGTAGATTTCAATAATCACCTGGTGACAGTGGTTATGGCATTGGACAGCACAGGTCAAGACGCAGGGATTAGTGCGATGAACAAACAAGAAGTCCCTGTGCTTATAGAGCTCACAATCATTTTGAGTGAATCTCAGTTCTGTGGACAATTTTTAAAAACTTAATATTGCTGCTTCTGGCATTGCTGGTGATGGTGTCTGCCATTGCAAAGCTTATGAGGAAGGACTTGCTGAAAAACAGCAAGAGCAGATGTGCCTTGACAGAGCCAGTGTGGCCTAGGTGATGTCCAACATTAGGTTAATAGTAAAAAACAAAAAAACAAAAAAACCCAAGCCATTTAAATTTAATGGTTTTTAAAATAAGTGAATAACTTTCTTTTTTCTGTTGTTGCTCCCTTTTGGTAAACTGCATAATTGACAAAGAGTAACTCTTGGGAGAAGTACTTCTGGCTGTAACATTTACAGGAAAAGAAACCTCATTTATCATTTTCATTAATTCATTACAGAGTATCTCAGTTTTTCTTAGGATCCTTTGTTTAGTGGGGATGTTTAGTGACTTGGGCAGATGTTTGCCTACTAGAATCCAATTATTAAGAAAACCAAACGGATGTTTAGACTAGAGTCCTTATTTTGAAATGAATTATATTCAAGGAGGAGCCGCAGATTAAAAAGTCATCTTAAAGAAAGATCTCTTGCTCTCAATTTCTATACATTTCATGTATAGAATTTGAGAAGTCTTGTGTCATGTACCCTAAAAAGAAATGTGTAATAGTGTGTGTATGCACCATATATATATAGTTTAAAAGTTATTTGTACATTAACCTGGAAGTTTACATAGGAATTTTTCAGCAGTTTGCCTGTCTCCACATTCAAAATATTTTTTTAATGTGGTGAATCATCATCACTTTCTTTCCGTATAGTGTTTGAAAATAACTTGTGTTTACATTTCTAAATACCTCTTTTAAATTTTCAATAATCAACTATTGGGACTAGAGCGCCTTGTAACTGACTGGTGTTTAGTTGATGGTGTGGAATCTTCCACATGCTCTTTGTATGTCCAGTTGAACAAAAATTAGAAGTCACCTTGGTCTTTATCCTGGAAATGTACAGCTAAAAAGAAGATGCGACATAGAATATTTAATCAAAGGCATCTTTATGCTGTTGACCTGGAAATCGCTACACACTTTTGGGGAACTACAGTAGAAAAACAGACCTGCTCTCCCCTTTAAGCATTTATAAAGTCTTTTTCCTCAGCCATGTTGCAAGAAGGATTTTAAAAGGCTTACTAGAAAAACAGAGAAAGTGTGTAAGACATGCAAAACTCTAAGAATTATGGAAACTGGTTTCCAAATAACTTTCTTAACTCATCTATGGTAGACAGGGTTATAGAAGGCTTGTGAAGCTGTGAAGTCTTTGTTCCGGTCTTCTCCCAGCAGTAAAAGTTTAAATTACCAGTAGGATCTCATAGTTGATGTTGTTTGACATGTTGGGATTTTGTATGGGATGTCATTTTAAAGATTTTTTTAACCTAAAGATGTTTTATATCTGCAATATTAGAGATTTTTTAATGTGTAAAGGAAATTGCCTACCATTAGAAATGGGAAAGGGAATCAGGAGAAATGCAAGGAACTTTGAAAGTAAATTATAAGAAGTAATAGGTTAACAGTAATTGCAAACAGTATTGACATGTGCATTAAATTTCACATGCAGGTTTTAGAAGTGTTTATTTCACTTTCTGTTTTGTTTTCAACTCACTTTTAGGCTCCCGCTTACCATCTTATCTTGGAAGGAATTCTGATACTCTGGATAATCAGACTTCTTTTCTCTAAAACTTACAAACTGCAAGAACGATCTGATCTTACAGTCAAGGTAAGAAATTAAAGTCCAGTGTTATTATTTGGTGTGTGATGATAGTTGCTTCATCTTCAAAAAACCTGTTGTAGTGGCCAACTGTATGCTAAAATATTTTTCTGGAACGTAAGGAAATCAAGGGGAATGAAATACAGTGTAGGAAGAACATGGGAAAGCCAGGATGAAGTACCTACCCAGAGGAGTTCCATGCCGTAGCTTCTCTGCTTTGCTAGGGGCAAACTGCAGTCTTACAAGTAAGTGATAAAAGAGAAGCATGGGCAGCTACTGGATTTCCAATGTCCAAGTGCAAGATTTTATGACTTGCTTGATAAAAGCCCCACTCTTTCTGAAGTCTGAGTGGAAGTTTTCCCTGTAGTAAGACTCCTTCCCAGCCCACAGACCCCACCTTCCCACCCCAAGCCAGGTGAACCTTAAGAATTAGAAGTGCCCATAGCATCAATGTAGGAGCACTTAGTGACCGCCTCAGTGGGAGAGAAGAAGAACAATTTTGACTGTAGGACAGTTTCTGTCACTCAGGTTGCTGTGCCAGGTACTTAGAGAGGCAGGGATTGTGAGAGATGTTTTCCTGCAAAAATCTCGAAAACATTGGTTCACAGGGCAGTATGGGGTGCAGCAGAAAGATAAAGCAGTGGGCTTTTCTTTACTTCCTGGAGCATTCAAAGAAAGAAATGCAAGTGGAATCACCATAGCCATGTACGATTGCTTCCCTGGTTTCTCTTCTGCTGCTGCTGTCCTGGTTGTTAATGTTAATCATGAAACCTTCAGGCACTGTCTCCTAGAGAACATGAAGCGTGTGGTTCTGAGGGCAGGAAGTTTTGGCAACCCGGATAAAGCAGAAGAAAGAGACGTCTCATTGCATGATTTCTTATAACCTTTAGTATGCTGGTGCATATTTGATCTCTCTTTGGAGGAATGCCCTAAACTTGACCATAGATCTCTCCCTCTCCCCCTGCTCCTTTTAACGAATACTTTGTGGAATTATCTTGCCACTGAACAAATACTATTTCTGTAGCATTGTAGTAAGGCTGAGCCCTCCAAGTCAGAAATCCTGCCTATATTTTTCCCTTGGTGTTTAGGAATTTTTTGTGGATAATTATGTGGCCATGACACAAATTAGTCCAAACATTCTTAGTTTTCATTTAAGCATATCAACCCACACATATATACATTTTCAAAAGAGTAACTGTCAGCTGATTTCTCAAAAGAGACCTTACAGGCAAGAAGGGGCTAGAAAGAAGTATTCCAAGTCATGAAATCCAAAGACCTACATCCAAGATTGCTCTATCCAGCAAAGCTTTCATTTAGGATGGAAGGGCAGATAAAGCACTTCTCAGATAAGGTCAAGTTCAGGGAGTTCATCATCACCAAGCCTTTCTTATATGAAATGTTAAAGGGACTTATCTAAGAAAAAGAAGATAAAAAATATAAAAACAGTAAAAAGATAGCAAACTCACAGGTATTAACAACCACACCTAAAACAAAAGCAAACTAAGCAAACAACTAGAACAGGAACAGAAACACAGAAATGGAGGCCACATGGAGGGTTAGCAACAGGGGAGTGGGAGGAGGAGAAAGGGGGAAAAGGTACAGAGAATAAGTAGCATAGATGGTAGGTAGGAAATAGACAGGGGGAAGGCAAGAATAGTATGGGAAATGTAGAAGCATGAACTAAAGGGGGGAATGTGGGTGGGAGGGGGTGTGCAGGGTGGAGGGGAATGAAGGAGGGAGGTGGGGCAAGTGTACATGATGGCCACAGCAATTAACAGCATAATCAATAAAAAATATTTTTAAAAGTGATATGTAAATCTAGTTTAGAATGATCCTCTGAAAGGAAACTTTGCTAGAACAGGAGTTAGTAATCACTGACACCTTACCCTAACCACAGTGGAAGAAAAAGGAACTGTGAGTGTTGTGAGTGGGAAGTGCCCTTGTCAGTTAGATGGGTCTACAGAAGCTCTTCAACAGCAGGGCATCCTGACTGGATTCTAACATGTGTCTTCACGGTAGCGGTGCACAGTGTGCATGACGTGTATGTACTCCAGGCTTGTTCGGATTGCTGTACTCTTCTGTGAGGTCATTGGCAGAAACACATGAGAAATTTAGTGGTTGATTTATTTCGTCAGTGTTTCTGAGTGCCTGAAAATCAGGTGAATGTGCCATTGATCCTGCTCTGGAGTTGCCCATCAGTAGAAGAATGCACAAAAGCATTTATCAGAAATACGAGGATAGATTTCAATGTCTCTGGATATATTTTGCTTGCTTGTTTGTTTTGTTGATTAGATACCACTTAGAGGTGAAGTCATAATGTACTTGTAATTAAGAACAAACTGATAGTAACCAGAGGGGGAGGTGAGAGGGGATAATGGGGGAAAAGGGGGGAAGGGTTTTCAGGAACATCTATGAAGAACACATGGACAAAACCAAAGAGGGATAAGATCAAGGGTGGGAAGTGGGGATGGCTAGGGTGGAGGAGATTGGGGGTGGTAAAATGGAGACAACTATACTTGAACAACAATAAAAAAAGTTTAAAAAAAGAAGCATGAGACTAGAATTATTGAGAGACAGTCTATTTGCAAGGCAAGAATTGCTGTGGCCATCATGTTAATTTAGGTGCCTCATCTTATCCTGTACCTCCAGACTACATTTTCGAAATTACCTGTTTTTCTGATATGAGACAGGATAAGAAACTCAGACTAGTCAATATAGTTATAACAGATAAAAGTGAATAAAATCGCTTTTTATGACAATTTCTGAGCCAGATCCCATTGCAGGAATCGTGAGAGCTTTTCTTCCTGTATCTCAGCTGCACCCGAATTTCTGTGATGGCTTGTAGAAACAGTGCTTCATGACCCAGTCGATCTCTTCTCATAGTGGTCACCTCCATAAGTGCTTTGGGTGTGGCTTCCTGTGTTGTCTGGGAATAGAGGCTGAGCTGACTTACCAGAAGTCATGCTTCTCACCTTTGTATTGTAGACTTTCTTTTTGTTTTACAATTTATAAGGTGTGCTTCATACTTCACACAGTGAAAAAATTCTTACCTAGCAATAAAATTTTCTTAATTTTTCCAGTCACCCGCAAAACTACATGGAAAAGAGCCTTTAGCCTGTGGTAAGAGGTGAGGAGGGTAAGTGTCCAAAACTCAGAAGTGATTCTGTTTCATTTCTAGCCACAAGTAGACCTGTTTCTTGCAGTGTGTTCGTTATGATGGTTCCACTACAACAATTTAGATGCTGCTGGAGTCACTGTCCAGTGATTAGCTTTGTGCTGTGTTTTAACACCTTTTCCCCCCATAGGAAAAGGAAGAATTGATTGAAGAGTGGCAACCAGAACCTCTTGTTCCTCCTATATCGAAAGACCATCCTGCTCTCAACTACAACATCATATCAGGGTAAATCACTTTGCTACTCAAAGGACTTGTACTCAGTTTCCTGTGGATAAAATTGCCAAAGTGAATGGTGGTTTAATGGTGTTCCTTTTTCACCTGAAGTAAAAGCTTTAGACATTTCTGCAGGTCAGAAACTATCTGCTTTAGTTTCCAGTATAAAAATTTCCTTTAGAAATTATATGGACATTTTTTAAAGTTTTTATTTACTTATTTTCAGAGAGAAGAGAAGGGAGATAGAAAGAGAGGGAGAGACACATCAGTGTGTGGTTGCCTCTCATGCGCCCTCCACTGGGGACCTGGCCTATAACCCAGGCATGTGCCCTGACAGGGAATCGAACCAGCAATCCTTTGGTTAGCAGGCCAGCACTTGGTCCACTGAGCCACACCAGCTAGGGCTGGGATTTTTTTTTTGATACTTTCTAATTTAGGCATTGCAGTTTGTACCCTTTTCTCAAAAAAATCTTTTTCAAAGTAATACACACACACTAGATATAATATGTCAAATAGTTAGAAGCACTTAAAATGAAAAGCAACACTTCTGCTTTTTCCCACCTGTTTTTTTATGACTGTTAGATCTGTTGCAGGTTGCCTTCATAACTAGATATTAACAGTATGCTGACACTATTACTACTTGATTGATTAATGATGGGAAACACCTAATGACTCTCACAGTATGATTCATGAAACTTCAGCTCACTTATCCTACCTTTCTTGTTTCCAGGGTCTGTTCTCTTTCTATTTTTAGTTCTCCTGTTGGTTATCTTTGCATTTTGTGTGTGCTTTTACTTTTTGAAGATTTTACTTACTGTTCTTAAAGAGAGGGTAAGGGAGGGAGGAGAAGAAGAGAGACCGTGATGTGCAAGAGAAACATCGGTCGCTTGCTTGCCATATGACCCCACCCAGGGACCTGGCCTTATAGCCAGCAACCTTTCAGTTTGCATGATGATGCGCAACCCACTGAGCCACATCAATCAGGGCATTATATGTGCCTTTATTAACTAAGAAGTATTTGAAAAATACAGATAATACCAGACACGTGGGTATCAAATGTCTAGAATTTTACCTGACAAATTTTATCCAGCATCTAACAAAGTATAGGCAGTACCGCTTTGTTATCTTTGCTTGAAATATGTTTTTTAAAAGAAAGAAAAAACATTACAAATATAGCCAAAGAAACCCATATCACTTACTCTTGCCTCCCACACAAGATCACCACTGTCTTGAAGTTGGTGGGTGTTTTCCTTTGCTTATGTTTATACTTTTACAATATATGCCTGTCATCATGAAATATTTAGTATTTTGTTTAAAATCATGATGCAGGGTATGGTCTTGATTGTGTCCTTCTGCTTTGATCTAAGAGAGGCTTGTATTCTTCACTTCCGTGGATTCTTTGATCTTACAAAAATTTTGCATGTTCTGAAGTCAGACTTAACTAACCATTAATCTTATGGAAGAAATCCTTCCCTACCCCAAAGGTCTACTTTGCCTGTTTTCCATGTGATGGTCAGTTGTCCCAGCATTATTAGCTGAATGGTTCATTTTTTCACCTACTGATTAGAAATTCCCCTTCTTTTATGTACCAAGTACCCTTATAAAAGGTGTGCTGCTTGCTTTGTTTCTATTGTTTTTAGGTGCGCTTGTCTCTCCCTGTTCCAGAACCTCACTCTTATAAATAACACAGCTTGAGAATAGGCCTTGACAAGAGTGAGCCCTTCTGTTCTTGAGAATAGTCTAGACTTAGTCTTGACTCTGTTCTTCACTGAGAGTTTAGATTCAGTTGATCAAATAGGACCAAAAAATGGGTTTAGGTTTGTGACTAGCAGTGCATTGAATTCATAGATTGATTTGGAGAGAATTGGAATCTGGCCAGTAATGAATCTCATCACCCTGTACCTGGGTTGTCACCTGTATACTTGGGTCGTTTATGTCGCACAGTAAAGTAACATGACTTTCTTCATTAAAGGCTTGGCTTATCTTTTTTGTTTCTACTTTCCTTTTGAAATAATTGTGGGTTCACATGCAAGTGTAAGAAATAGTACAGAGATCCTTTGTAAGTTTTCCCCAAGGGTAATGTTTTGCGCAACCATAGTACACTATCACAACCAGGAAACTGATGTTGTATCTTCTAATGGACTTGTCTCTAGGTTCCAGAGTTTTACTTTCTGTCAATGAGAAGCGTCTTTTCCTTCTGTTCCTGTGTTATTTCACTGGCCAGGGCACCTTCCATGCAGTGTTGATAAGAGAGGTAACAAGCACCTCCGTGTCCCTGGCGGCTTGTAAGAGATAACCTGTATTAAGTTATGGGCCTGCCATTCTCTTCCTGGTTTGCAAAGGGAATGTTTTGGTTTTCAAATGAGAATATTAAAATTTATCAAATTTGTTTCTGTGTCTATTGAAATGCTCATGACTTTTCTCCTCCAATCAATTGCCATGTTAAATTATACTGATTAGTTTTTAAATTGGTTATGTCTATACATAAATTCTTATTAGAGAAACTGCAGTCCCTGGTGCCTCCCATCCTCACCCCCGATTCCCACTCTCTGGAAGTAATTCCTTTCTGCTTCTTTAAGCTCCCCCCCCCGGTATTTCCTTCTGTTTTCCTAAGGAACTTGCTTATGCTGTTATTTCTTGAATTTTTTTTCCTTTCTTTCCCAGCTGTAATTATACTCATTAGTGGTAGGACAGAAAGATTGGCTGTCTGAAAACACATGCGCACTTGCTGTCTCCAGGGCCATGGTAGCCCCTCTAGTGCCTTAGTGTGGACTGGAAAAGCCCCTCTTCCTTTGGCAGACACAACAACCTGCTCTGGACCTTGGCTGCATACCACCTGCAGCTGCCCTGTTCATCCCTTCTCCCAGCAGAGTTCTGTTTTTGCATTATGTGTTCTTAGATTATTTTGTGCTTACATCTTTATAGCTGCATTAATAGTATTCATTAGTCAAGGTTAGCATCCATTTTTTTTCAATATGGAGAATATTTTAATTACATTTTCTTTCTTGTTTTCATATCTTTGCCCACTTGCTTGCTTGGTTTTACGTATTAGCCTACTTTATCCCATTGTCTTCCTCCAGAGTTATTTCTTGGGTCCATTTTCATTTTTCTTCCTGGAGCCATTGTCTTCTTGCTCCAGTCCTGACTGGTTGCTAAATAGAGCTGCTGCCCAGGGTGGCCCTGGGATCTCAACCTCTGCTTTAGCTCAGGAGTCCCTTTGTCTCTTTCCTGCGTTGGCAGTGTCCTCTGTTTGAGTTTACGCCCATGTATGAGTAGAGTAAAGGTGGACTCCTGAGGAAGGCTATGGAAGGTAAGTTTTTTGAAGCCTTATACATCTTAAAATTGCTTTTCATTTAATCTTTTACACTAGAGTGATTACTTTATCTGTTTTTATCACTTTCTTAGACACACTCCAAATGCCTTGTGAACTTACATACATTTTTTCCAATATGCAGAATAGTTTCATAGTAATCAACCGCATAATGTAAATAGTGTGCAAAAAACAGAAAAAATGATGTTTTGTTGATATTGATATACTTAGAGTTACTCTTCAGTTTATGAAGTACCTCTTTACATTCAATACTGAGTTAACACAAGAGTAAGTGAATTTACTTAACTTGGATGGATTTTTCCCCTTTAAATAACAGCCTTGTTGAAATATAACCCATATACCACAATACTGACCCTGTTAAGGCACCCAGTTAAGTGACTTTCAGTATAGTCACAGAGCTGTACAACCATTTCCACCATCCAATTCCAGAATATTTTCATCAACCCAAAAAGAAAGCACACACCCATTAGCAGTCACTCTCCCTTCCGCCCACTCTGCAGCCCTCAGCAGCTATTCATTTACTTCCACTGTGGATTTGTCTATTTTGGATGTTTCATATAAAAGGAGTCACATATGCAGTACTTGGCCTTTTGTGTCTGCCTTCTTTCCCTTAGCCTAATATTTTCAAGGTCCATCCATGTTGGACCTTGTGTCCCACATGTGTCAGTGTTTGGTTTCATCCTGATGGATGAATGATAACTCCACTCTGTAGGTAGATCATGAGCTGTTTGCACATGCATCAGCTGATGGCCGTTTGTGTTGTTTCCACTTGGGAATACATGAACAGGAGTGGACAAATATCCACACAATTGTGTGAACACATGTTTTCATTTCTCTTGGGCATGTACCTGAGAGTAGTGGAATTGTAAGTCATACAGTAACTCACTTTCAGGAATCACCACACTGTTTTCCAAACTGGCTGAATCATTTTACATCCTACAGGCCATGAATGAGAACTCTAACATCTCCATGTCCTGGCCAGCACTTTTTGATTACAGCCATCCTAGTAGGTGGGAAGTGGCATCTCATTGTGGTTTTGATTTCACTTCGCAAATGGCTAGTAAATTGAGCATCTTTTTATGTGCTTGTCGGCCAATTGTGGATCTTCTTTGGTGAACAGTCAGTACTTAAGGATTTTGCCTGTTTTTTAATTTGGTTGTCTTTTAATTGAGTGCTAAGATTTCTTTATATATTTTGGATAGTAGGCCCTTATAAAATATTTGACTTGTGAATATTTTCTCCCGTTGTGTGAGTTATTGTATCTTTTTTTTTCCTCACCGTGTACTTTGAAACACTAAGGCTTTAAATTTATTTAAGATGTAATTTTTTTATTGATTGATTTGAGAGAGAAAAGAAGGGAGAGAAAAATCAATTTGTCGTTCCACTTACTTTGCGTTCATTGGTTAATTCTTACATGTGCCCTGTGACTCGGTTTTGAACCTGCAAGTTTCATGTGTCAGATGATGCTCTAACCGACTGAGCAACCTGGCCAGGGCCAAATCTTTTTAATTTTAATGAAGTCCAATTTATCTATTTTTACATTTGTTACTGTGTTTTTGTATATCTAAAATCTTTGCCTCATTCAAGCTTATGAAGATTTACTCTTCTGTTTTCTTTTAAGAGTTTATCATTTTTGCTCTCAAATTTAACTCTGATTCACTTTAATTTTTATAATGCTGTGAGGC